ATTTCTTTAATTCAAGGAAAACAGAAGGCACAGCCACTAGCTAAATTAGGAAGAATAAGATGAAGACATATGGATAGATGGGAGCCAGCCCTGAGGAAAAACAAATCAGCTTTTAGTGTCCTGGGGTGAGGAAGAGCAAACTGTGATGGGCCATATGTCCTCACCCAACCACAGGAGAGAAGAGGGAGGATTGGGATGAGCAGAATCCTGCACCAAGTGTGCTTAAAGCCATCCTGGGGCCAGCTCAGCTACACTGGGTTGTCCTGCTGGAGATGTGTCCCAAGCAGGCAAACCAGGATGCTCATCCTCTCCAGAGAGTACCGTTAGAGCATGGACCTTGCTTTCCAGGGAGAATTTCCTAACAGGAAAAGCAATGTTTTTGGTGTTTGAAATTTCATGAGTTGCTGGTCAGAGAAGGGAGGACTGTGTCAGTGGGGGAGGAGAGGAGGAAAAGCGAGCATCCCTGGAGCAGCAGTATCCAAGGACACCACAGAGATGAGCACTGTGATGATGACAAACATACGTGGGTTTTCATCCTTTGGCCTCACTGCCAGCAAGAATCTTTAGAGTTTATCAAAATTCTTAGGCTGTCACAAGTTAAATAACTGGTTTTAGGAGCAGAGGAGCTGTGGGGGTGGCTTCTGTGAGAAGCTGCCAGAAGCTTCCCCAGTGTCCAACAGAGCTGATGCCAGCCAGCTCCAAGACAGATGTGCTGCTGGCCTTGTCTGAGCCCATCAGGGACAGCAGTAGCACCTCTGGGGTAACAGAGTTAAGAAAGGGGAGGAAAAGCTGGCAAAACAGCAAATGGAGACAGGAGTGAGAATGTGTGAGTGAAACAGCCTTGCAGACACCAAAGTCAATGAAGGAGTGGGAGGGGGTACTCCAGGAGCAGATGGATGCCAAAAGGAGGCTGTGACCATGTGGAGCAGACTCCCGCCAGCAGCTGTGGCCCCACGGAGAAAGAAGCCCAGCTGGAGCAGGTTTGCTGGCAGGACGTGTGACCCCGTGAGGGACCCAGCCCATTCCTGAAAAACTGCAACCCTTAAAGGGACCCAGGCTGGAGCAGTCTGTGCAGAACTGCAGCCATGGGAAGTGCTTTTGCTGGAGAAGCTCATGGAGGACTGTCTCCCATGGGAGGGACCCCATACTGGAGCAGGGGCAGAGTCTGAGGAGTCCTTTCCCTGAGGAGGAAGGAGCAGCAGAGCCAATATGTAATGAACTGACCACAGACTCCATTACCTGTCCCCCTGCACCACTGCAGGAGAGAATGGAGAGAAAATTGGAAATATGGTTGAGCCTGGAAAGAAGGATGGGGTGGGGGGAAAATGTTTTCAGGATTTGGTTTAATTTCTCATCATCCTACTTTGATTTGAATTTACTAAATCAAACTAATCTCACCCTGTCTTTATCTTGACTCATGAGCCTTTCGTTATATTTTCTCTCCCCTGTCCAGCCAAGGAGAGGAGTGATGGAGCTTTGGCAGGAATCTGGCATCCAGCCAGGGTAAGCCCACCACAGTACCAAAGCCAATATTTTCTTTTTCTGTAGGACTTTTTCCTCCAAGGACTTTGGTTATTATTGAAGAGACATCAGGTATGTGGAACCTGAATTGGCACCATGTTATAGTGATGTAAAGCCAAGAAAGCAGAGCAGTGAATCAGGTGCCCAGTCTCAGTAACCCTCACACATTTTCATTCAGGCCACAATGGAGTTCAAACAACTATTTAGACCAGTTAGAAAATGAAGATGAAATGCATAAGGCACCACAAGAGACTTTCAGAAAAGCACACAGCATGACCAAATCCTTCTCATTTTTAATATTTCTATTTCTTCTTCTAAACTTTTTCTTTAAACTTGAAAATAATGAGAAAATGTGCTTCCTTGAGACAAGCCAGTACTATCAGCTAAACAGCCTCACATTCATCGTAGCACTCCAAGTGCTCTGGAATGCTTTTCAGCCCAGAGGATAATAGTATTAGACGACCAGAAAGGCTGTCCTGTAAAAGACTGTTATTATGATTTCCAGTCTCAGAAGTTGGCTTAATCCAGCTGAGCACACACATGTTATTTAGAGAGGAGACTGAGCTCAGACACTGCTATCACCATCATCTTTATTGCAAATGAAGGGTTCAGCCAGTGAAAGGCAAGTCACGTTTTTTTTTTGTCCTAAGCCCTGCAAACAGTGGCTGTTGCAATCGTCTTTGCACTCTGCAGCGAGAGTCTGGAGCTGCTGAATGCGGAGCTGTTTGCACAGATTTGCATCTGTCTAAAAACTCCTGTTTTCTCTCTTGTCACCTAATCAATCAAACAGTAAAAGATGCACTCCCTGCACCCTCCGAGGAAAGCAGCTCTGTGCCCACACAAAAGGCAAAGCATGAGCATAGGGGTTAGCTAGAGGTGGTAAGCTGTGAACCCTGTAACAGGAGCAATTTTTTTTCACTGCTTGAAATTTCATGCTGCTCTTCCTCTGGCTATGGAACAAAAGAAGAAAAGGCAGTGATGCTCTGAATTGGGAAAAAAATAATCTGGGATTGTTCCCTGCATGAGAAAAATATGTTTGGAGGATTGCTTGGGGTATTTGCACCTTGACTTGAGGAGGAAATGCCACACAGCTTCTCTCCCAGGGTTTAGGCAGAACAGCTCCCTCCCAAAGGACTAGTTCTCCCACCCACACCTCCCCAGGCGAGCAGGACCCATCTCACACCACAGCCTGCCAAGGACCAGCAGCCAGGCACCAATCCCTGTGGGTCAGCTTGCAGCTGGCACCACTGCTTGGAGTTGCTCGAATCTGCCCATGCCAAAACCTGCCAGGGCCACTGCTGCCCCATCCGTAGGGTGGGGGTGAGCCTTCCCACTCTATCCTTTTTGCTCCAGGGGGAATATTGCATTTCACCACACAGCACTGGAGTGAAGAGCTCTTCATGAGTATCCAGCACAGAATTCCACCTATTCGTTCTTGCACTGGTAGTGTCTTTGCTAACAGTCCCTGTCAGGGCAGCCTCAGCCACACTTTTGCCAGACAAAACAGCTCAGCCTCCCTCTGTCCTTCCAGTCACCTCCCAAGAAAGGAGCCACTGGGCACTCAGATTCATGCCAGGATGGGAGGGACAGCAGCTTCCTCTCCTTAGTCCCAGGGAAGCAGCTCAAACAAGCTGAACCCCTGTGAGCAGCAGCTCTTCCTGGGCAAGCACTCCTTCCCTGGCACATTTTCCCATGGGAGAAAAGCACAGGGACCTTAAAATAAATCTGTCTTTTTAAAGCAGAGATGCTAAATGAAGGTTTGAGATCAAAGGCTGGGATTCTCACATTTTGCCAAGATAGACATATCCATTCACGAGATTTTTGGTGTAACAAAATACTTGCTAATGAAGAGGATCATAATCTTATTATTAGCCCGAACTACCACAGTATGTCATTCAAGAGCGGGTTGGAATATGTCCTAGTTTAGGAAGTTGCACAGTGGGTTTTGCTTTTGATTTAATGAGCTGTGATTGTGTTTATTTTCAGCAGCAACTATGCCCGTTAAATTTTGGTTGAAGGTCTGATCGTTAACGACAGTAATCGACGGAAAGGATGAATTTAGGTTGAAGGGGAGGAAAATGGGAATTGTATGTCTCTGGGATTCAGTCCCCAAGCAAGCAAACACAAGGTGGTCAGGAGAGCCTGAGCTTTCTCTGCTTTTGCAGTGCCTGATGATGGGTTTTCAACTACTGGTTAACTCAGCTAAGGGGATGATTCAGTCATGGAAAAACAAAGATTTTTGCTGTTACAGAGTGTGGCACAGAGGAGTATCAGGTGTAGGCAATCAACAGTGGGGGCCAGACTTTCCTTTTGTGGGACGAGCCACGGTGGGACAAGGTCACCAGCTGGCTTCCACTATCAATATCCCAGAAATTCTAAGATGGCAGGGGGAACATATCAGTAGTGTGCAACAACTGAACAACCTGCCAGATGAGCAAAATGGAGAAGAAAGGGGAAGAGAAAAATAAGTAGAGACATGTACTTTGAAAAAAAAACATTGCTGCAGCAGAGCTGGTTGGTGTAGGCCCTCCTCTGGGGTGAGATGGGCCCCATGCAGCAGGGTTTCCCCACATGAACCCCCCCACTGCTGCCTGTCTGGGTAACTGGAGCGGGGCCACCGAGCAAGAAGGGCAGGGCAGGCCAGGGCAGGAGGGGGCACAACTCAGACCCATGCCCCCATCACACTCCTTTTGCAGCTGGTGTCTGTGTCTCAGTTTCCAGCCTCACAAAGGATGCTGTGCTTTGTGTTTTACACCATCAGCCCCAAAGGGGTCCAGCACAGTTTATTTGCCAGCATCAAAGCGTGCACACACTGTCATGTGTATGTAAGTACAGGCAGGACATCCATAAGGGGCGTGAAGGAAACACAGACATGGACAGACACATGGATAGACACACGGATAGACACACATAGCCAGTTGTAGCCTTTAAAAGCTTGCCATGTACAATATTAGCATGGTTGTCCCCAGCTTGGACACGGGGCTCAGCCGGAGGTGTTGGGCTGTGCCAGTCAGCGAGGTGTTTTGTGGAGCAGTCATCGACCAGCAGTTTGTCAGCTCCAGCGCCTGTAAATTCCTGTGTCAAGTGTAAAAAATCAGTTAACACGTTGTTCTATTTTAAAAGATTTTTTTTTTTCATGACGGCCGTCTGTCTGACGGGGTACCCCTCTCCTCCGCCACGGCGTGCGGGGGGTGCGTGTCCTCTACACCTCCGACCCCCTCGGGAAGGAGGGAAGTTGGAGACGATACCCAGGGGTCTCTTGGAGGGGACGGCGATGGGGCAGGGGGACACAGCCCCGCGGAGCTCCGCCGGCTGCCGGGCAGCTCAAGGGGCTCATTGTGCCCGGGGCTGGGCGGTGCTGCCCTCCCCGCGGGCCGGGGCCGGGAGCGGGGCGGGCCCGGGCCGGGGCGGTGCAGCCCCGCCGGGGCCCGGGCCGGGGCCGGGGCCGGGGCCGGGCAGCTCTCCCTCCCGCGGCAGCCATGGCAGAGGGCTCCGAGAAGGTGCCGATCGCCCGAGTGGGGCCCGACGATGTGGAGCTGTGCCTGCCCCCCGTGAGTGCTGCCGGCAGGCACCGGGCGGAACAGGGTGGGAGCGGGAGAAAGGGGCATGAGTTGGGATGGAACGGGACCCAGCGAGTCGAGACGGGACGGGTTGGGACTGTGGGGAACGGGTGGGGCCGAGACAGGTCGCAGTGTAGCGGGACGGAACGGGACAAAACGGGTCGGGTCGGGTCGGGTCCGGCCGGGGGTCCGTGCCCTGTCCCTGCTGCCACCCGCGCTCTCCGCAGGCGTACGCGGCGGCCGCGCCCCCCGGGCCGGGGCGGCTGCTGAAGGCCGGGGCCGCGGTGCTGATCGCCGGGGCCCTCCTGCTGCTGGCCGGGGCCATCGGCGCCTTCTACTTCTGGAAAGCCACGGAGCGGCAGGTGAGCGCGCCGGGCCGGCCCCGGGGCACCTCCGACCGGGGCCGCGTGGGCGGGGAGCTCTCGCACCGACGGAGAGGCACGGGCTGGAAGCGCTCCTGGCGAGGTCTATAAGAGGTCTTTAAGAAGACCTGTAGATTTTTTTCCTTTCAAAAATCCCAAACACCTACAAACCCAAACCTATAATCGCTGTCTTTGGTAGCTGTGTGGATGGAGCTTCCTGGAAGCACATTTATTAGCGAAGACGAAACACATCTTTGAGAGCACAGACTCTGCATTGATTTCTGCTCACAAATCCTCAGTGAACTCAAACCCCAGCAAGTCCCCAGAGATTCACAAGCTGGGAAAACTCCAGCTCTCAGGACAAAAAAACATTGAAATGTGTAAATTCTTTTTTCATAGCATCTGCATTCTCAGTCCAGATTCTACCTGGACTCTCAAGTATGTAATGCTATAATTAACCCATTAACAGGCACCATTCGTTCTGGTGCTTTGTATGACTGTGCATACACTTAGGTTTGCAGCTGTGGAGCAATTTTTAAAGTTAAGTTTTATTATTTACAGTTTCTGGGGTACATGAGAAACGCTTTATGCAAAGATTGAAACTGAGAAGCTGGTGATCAGTTAAAGACCCAAACTTAAGAGCGTTAGAACATGTTTACAGATTAACTTTTCTTTCTGTTTACACAGAATTTGTGTAAACAGAAAGAAACATATTTGAAACATGATGGTACACACATGAATGTACCCTTCTCCATAAATTAAATTAGTACCCTTGAATTTACTTTGGAAGTTTTGTACTGCCTCTGGCCACACGCCAGCCCTCATCAAGGAGAGCCTTGTGTGAATTCCAGGAGCCATGGCCCTGTGAGATACACCCCTACACATAAGGATAATTCAGATAATCAGAAAGAAAAGTACAAGGTTTTACAGCAAGAAGACAGGACACATTGCTGACCTCTAAGACGTGCTGCAAGAACCGTGTGCTTCTCTAAAGCAAGGCTTTTGCAAAGGGAGAGGGATGCAAATGGTGGCACAGGCAGGGGACAGTGCTTTCAGCTCTGAGCAGGTAGGTGCATTTGTGGAGTACAAGACAATGTTTCCCTTTTTTAATGCTCCTGTCATCTAAATTTAGCCATACAAAATATGTCACATTCATAGTTTCCATTAAGGTTCAAAGCTGCTCTCCAGGTGAAGACACTGGGAAAGCTGAGAGTTATTTTTCCAAGCTGCCTTCAAACTCAGAAAGCTGTACTTGAGTTGCAAATGTTTAGGAAGCAACTGCAAAAATTATATCCAGAGTAATTAATTAAAAAAAAAACTAATGCAATTTTTAAATTCTTGGTTTTATTTTATATCTTTAAATTCTTCCCTAGATGACAGGAGTATCAAAGTCTCAACTCTAGCTCAGCCCCTGTCAGGGGGAGACCACATACACTGGTCTGGTTTTATGGGCCACGTTCAACAGGAGTCCTAGAAAGCAGAAATATGGGAGTGGCTGTGTATAACTGAGGAACCATAAATCTTTAGCACCTTAGACTTCCCTGAGCGAAGGTGAGAGAAGAAGAAATTTGTCTCTAGCTGTCAGTGTAAATTTTTCATTAATATGCTGTAAAGGCTTTTTTAAGACCCAAAATAAACTGCTTGTGCAGCACTTTTAGCAGAGCTGCACAGGAGAATCACAAAACCCCTCCACAGATTGTGGTTCTCCAGCAAATACAACCATGCTGTAGCTCTCCTCATTGAAAATAGGATAAGGGCAAATATGCTGACAAGGAAAATACAAGCCTATACAACTTCAGATCCAATTTAAACAAAGTTCACATCCATTACAAGCTGGGAAGTGTGTTCGTATTCAAGAGGAACCTGTTTTCCTGTGCCTCAGCAGAACATCCTAAGAGATAAACAGAGGTTGGCCTCCTTCAGAGTAGGACATTCACGCCTGCTGTCCTTTGGGAATCATGCCAGCATAACAAGCAATTCCTAAACTGTCCTAGAAGAAGGTTTTTAGGTCAGAGTGAACATGGGTGTGGACTCACCCCATGTTGGTTTTGAAGTAAAACTATAAGCACTCCCTGGAAGGGGGATCTCAGGTCTCTAGTCCTACCTGATGCTCAGAGCAGGGACAGCTGTGGGGTCAGAGATGGTTGCTCAGGGCTTTATCCAGTCAGGCTGTGAAAACTTCCAAGGATGGAGGCCAAACAACCTCTCAGGGCTGGCTGCCCCACTGCCAGCCGGACCTAATGCTGAAGTAGTGCAGTGTTGGTTGTTGGAGGGTTATCAAATGCCTGCAGCAGCAAAATTTAGGAGCTAAATAGGGATATGAGAGTCAGATTGACCCATTGCCTGGTGTAGGAGGAAGGCAATAAGTAATTACTGGCATGTGCTACCGCTCTTTTATTGATTCCAGGTGTACAACGTTCACTATACTATGAGCATTAATGGAAAAGTACAAGATGGATCAATGGAAATAGATGCTGGAAACAACTTAGAGACATTCAAAACAGGAAGCGGGAGTGAAGAGGCAGTTGAAGTCCATGATTTTCAGATCGTAAGTAGTGCCACTCTTGTCCTTCATGGAACACACTCCAGTGCTGGACTCTTAAGGACACCTTGTTCTGCCCTGACTTCTCTGCCCCACTTAGCCTCAGGTTCCAGCCTCCAACCATCCACGCAGACATTTTTGCTCTCCTGGCTTGCATTCTCAGGGAGACAGGCAGTTTCTTCCAAAACAAAAATCTAAGTGCTTTTTGGAGATCAGCCATGCCAGGTACCACTCCAGGAAGTGGTGTGGATTAGGCTGCGTCAGGTTTGACTTCATGTAAATACTTTGCATTTTCAAACCGCTGAGCAGAAATGTGACATGTGACCTTGGGGTCCTACTAGAAGAACATTCTGTCAGGCGGTGACACAACCCTCACCTGACTTCAAGTGGTGTGAACTGGCAGAAACACCTCCCCCAAACACCTGTTTGAGGAGCAGAGGGTCAATACAGTAAGACAAGGAGACACCAAGGAAAGCCCACTCTGCAGTGCTTGACTTTGGGAGCTTCCTTTGCAGAACAAATGAATCCATGCCAAAAGATGCTGGACCCCAACTTTCCCAACAGCTGTGGTTCTGCCTTTATGCAACTCCCATTAGCATCACCATAGCAACATTATTGGCAGCTGAGTAGGAGCATCCACAGTGAGCCCTTCTCATTTGCCATTTCACATCTGCACAAAAGCACCAGTCCACCGGAGAGATGCTGAACTCATGTTTCCTCCACGTGTGTTGCTGGTGAGATACTGCCTGTCACAACCAGGTTATGAATCAGCTCCTAACACCAACCAGCTCACAGGACCTCCCAGGGACGGTGCCTGCTTGTAATTACAGAGGGCCAGGGACAGCCTCAGCAAAAGGATGATGCCACTTGGGTTTTCAGCCAAGAATGCACACAAAGGAGAAAGCAGCTGAAGAGATGTGCTTCCAACAGACTGGTATTTACATTAGCAGTTCTAGATTGACTGGCACTGCCAGAACGACTGCATGGTCAGAGAAGGCTTGGATTTGGCAATATTAGGGTACTCCTAGAACACCTGGTACACCACAAAGCCTTGTGTCCTAATGCACACATCCTTGCATAGCCATCTCCTCTGTCACTGCTTTTACTAGTCATTTTGTTGTGAAGGGGGTGTGTGCAGCTACACAAGACTGCAGACACACAGGACATGGCTCAGGTGCCCCAGTACCATCCATCTCATGCTGCACTGCATCACAATGTGTCGAGTTGGAAGGGATCCACAAGGATCATTGGGTCAGACTCCTGGCACAAGACCATCCCCAAGAGTCACACCATGTGCCTGAGAGCATTGTCTGAATGCTTCTTGGTCTCTGTCAGGCTGGTGCTGTGACCACTTTCCTGGGGAGCTGTTCCAGTGCCCAACCACCCTCTGGGTGAAGAACCTTTTCCTGCTATCCAACCTGAACCTCCCCTGACACAACTTCAGGCCATTCCCTTGGATCCTGTCATTTTCACCACAGTGTCTGCCCTCCTCTTCCCCTAACTGCAACAAGGTCTCCCCTCAGTCTCCTCCAGGCTGAACAGCCCTCAGCCATCCCTCATACAGTTTCCTCTCAAGGCCCTTCACCATCTTCATTGCCCTCCTTTGGACACACCCTAACAGTTTAATGTCTTTCAGTGTGGCACCCAAAATTGCACACAAAGGCATCCGTGATACCCCTTCAGGGCAGATGAGAGGGGTCATGCTGACACCCACACCTCTTTCCCCTGGCAGCTAGAGGCCAGGCAGAAAACCAGCACAACTTAAAGGGCACTAGGTAATTATATTTAGGTGGCTGATTGGAGCTTTTTCACCCACATGAAAAACACAAAAATCCAAATTTATCTAAATTTCTAATGTAGAAGAGAGCTCTTTTATGGATACCGAAAACCTACAGTAGAACCATAGAAACTACAATGGCAAGATGTTGATGCTCGAGGTGCTGGCACAGGGCTGGAAGGAGACTTGCTCCTTCTCTTGCTTAAAACTAAACACAGTTTATGCAATTGCATTTCTCTTGCTTAAAACTAAACACAGTTTATGCAATTGCATTTCACTCTAGGAGGCCAGATGAAGTCCCACACAGATTTCTGCACCAAACTGCCCGTCACAAACTTCCCTTTGCTGTCACAGTCACTTAATTGTACAGACTGAACCAAACTGCCCCCACATTTTTGTAAAACTGTGTCACAAGGGTACCATGCCACCAGCTAGCACAATTTCAAGACTGCCTACGTTAGGTGCTAAGTTACAGTTCAAATCATGTCAACTAATTCCTTAACAGAGGTACTCCAAGTAGCCTACAGCCTGCATGGGAACACTTACATAAAACACCCCCCCACTTTCAGAAATCACGCAAAAACTTCTAGACCAATTTGACCAAAATTGTGAAGCTAAAATGATGAAGGGAAGAGTGTTTTATGGCTTCTGGTTTTAAATAAGGTTAACCTTCAGACTGAAAATTCAGTGGCAATTTTAGCAGAGCTGAGGCACTTTGTTGGGGGTGGTGAGGAGCTGGAGGGCTGTGCACAACCCCCTGCCTTCTGCTTTTGCAGGGCATAACTGGGATCCGTTTTGCTGAAGGAGAAAAATGCTACATCAAAGCTCAGCCAAAAGCCCACATCCCTGAAGTTGATGCTATGGCTAAAGCGAGCCTCTCATCTGAGCTGGTAAGGGGTAGTTTGTTGGTTTTTTTAAACTAATCTTTGTATAGAGAGAGCCTAAAGGAGGTACTTAAATACAAATTAAAATGGCATTTGGAAGCCACTCTGGCTCATGGTAGGGTTGTTAAACATAGGGTAGGATAGCTGAGGAGTCATTGACTGGTTGCAAGGAGTTGAAGGGTAAGAAAGGTTGAAAGGTAAGAAAAACAAGATTGGTGTCAGACATGTCACTGTGTCCAGGGACATGGTGAGAGGTTGCAGATTAGTAAGTGTGGAAGCCACAGACTGATTTCTGCCAGATCCACAGGAGATCTCCGTGACAAGAGCACCTGCCTGAGACCAGGCTGTGCACAAGGCTGGAAGGGAGGGCGAGGAAGTAGTCAATGCAAAGGAGGACTGTGGTGGATGCCAGGAGATATCCATGAATGCTCTTGAGCACAAGCATGAACTCCATCACTCTAATCAGTAAAACGGAATTGTGGAAAACATGGCAAAAATTAAAATAACTCACAAGAAATAATTTCTTCTAAAAAATATGACTTTGCCTTCTTAGCAAAAAAATAAAATTTCATTTTACATTAACTAGAATTTGCATCACAACCAGCACAGAAGCTGCAGTTCTACCCCGGATACCACCAAGCCTCACATTTGCCCAAGAAGCTGATTGCTTGACGTGCTCAAAGCCCAAGTTTCCCAGAGCTCAGACCCCAAACTTATTGCTCACACAGGAGTGGCTCCAGTGACTTGAGTCCAGCAGAGCCTGGATGCTGCTGGAGGCTCAGTCACTGGCAGGAGAGCACAGGAGATCCACAGCCCCTTTCCCTGGGTTTGCTCTGCTCCTGGGAGAACAAAAGCAAGATACAATTAGTGGGGAGAGAGGTGCTGTTACGGTTGCACCTCCCTGCCGTGGTGCTGTGACTCCTGAACATCTGCTTTAAAATTAAGGGGAAAAAGATCACTCCTAATAGAGTCAGAAAAGCTGACAAATGTTACAAAGCCTCCTGACACTGGCAGGATTTTCCCCATGATGGGAAAGAGAACTTGCACGAATTCCAGAGAGAGAGTTCTATCTTTCCTGCCTTGCCTTATTTTAAAGGCAGCGGGCCTTGACTTAATTAGTGCTATTGCTTGAAGTCAAAGATTGAATTTTTTATCTTTTTGTAAAAACAAAGTCACAGACCTGAAGAGATTATCCTAAATAATCAAACACTTACTTCTAATTCTACCTGCTGACAGTAAAACTATTTCCTTGTCCTGTTTTTTGTGCATCTTCTCCCAAGATGCATCACCTGTGTAACTGTTGCAATGAATCACACGCACCAAGCAGCTTAGTGCTACCACTAAGACATTAACTTTTCCCTGTCACTCGATTTTCCAGGCCAGATGTACTACAGGAATGGCAAAGTAGTATTTATTTTTCTAGGCCAAGTAATCTCTCCGATATATTCCGGAAGTATTTAGGAGAAAGTATGCATATGCTGTTTTCCTACAATGGGCATCATAGCAACACTACCTACAAAAATTGTTGAGTAAAATGAGTTTTATAGATACCCAAGTTCTGGCTGCTCACAAGTCTCATTTCAAACAGAAACAAAGGATATTTTTGTTTCTGAAAATTAGAGTCAGATATTTCTGATGTTGATAAAAGCTTAAGTGGGAGAATGTAAATAAAGAGCAGTAGACAGATTGGATAGCAAACTTAAATCACTTGAGACCTACAAAATAAATCAATAAACACTAAAGAAACAACAACTCAAGGGAATAAATTGATTTAGTCAGTTATATAACAAGTCTTGATGACTTTTATGAAAGCAATTTAGAATTCTAACTTTGAAATCATGCTGGTTTTCGTGATTCAAAAGTTAGTTTTCTTTTAATATTTCACCGTTGCTATAAAATACTTACACATTTTATGTAAAATAATACTTTGAACTAACAACTTTAAAGAATCAATCACTGGCATTTTCCTACATTACTTTGAAGATATGAACCAAAAACCTGCAGGGTACACTTCAAAAAGACAGGCTCCTTTAACTTGCACTTCAAGCTTTTGGTCAATTGAATTGCTTTACCAAACAAGACCTTTAATCAGACCGATCACATTGACTTAAAACTGGAAGCTGGAGCAGTTCTCAAGCTATAATCCTCTCTAAAACTTTTAGAACAAGATTCCACCCCTCACCCCCCCATACACACATTGTAAATAGAGTTATACAGTGGGAGTATGTCAAATGAGAACAGGCATAAGAAGAAATGAGGTACTTGGGTTTTGCTGGTATTTCATTGCTGCTTTGCTGAAGGAGGTAGAACTTTGGTTTCTACCACCTGAAATTCTGGTGCTTTGGGCTCAGAGACCTCTGACACCCAGCCCTCATGCATGGGGCAGAAGCCTTCTAGGAGTGAGATGGGTGAAATCACATTCCCAGCAAAGCTGACAGTGGCTCTGCCCTTCATTTCAGTGGAGGCAGCCCTTCCCCAGGCTTTGGCTCAGCACGATTCCTTCACATTCACGACATAGAGGGATGCTCAGTATTAGTTGCAGCGGATAATTATACAGTTTGGTGCTCAAGAATTAGCAGCGAGCAGGCACATGACTGCTCGCTGAACAGCAAAGGATTTATGCTCTTCTATTTGCAGGAAGATGAAATCATGCCTGTGAGATTTGACAAAAACTCCCTTATCTGGGTGGCTGCAGATGAGCCTATCAAGCATAACAGCTTCCTAAGCCCCAAAATTTTAGAGCTTTGCAGGGATCTTCCAATTTTCTGGCTGCGACCAACATATCCCAAAGGTAACGTTTCTTTTATTTGAAAAGTATGTTATCCCTCCCTTCATCTAAATGCCTTCCCTTCATCAGGTTTGCTACTGAAACTAGCACATCTGGGAAACCAGACTCCTTTGCTCCCTTGCCCACACCTTCCTGGGCTTGTGCCAAGATTGTGGGTTTGGAGTTATCCCCTAGATATTTTCCATCCTTGTATTTACTCAGACAATTTGCATAGCCCAAGTGGGTGACTTGCTAGGAGATTAAATATTTCCAGAGAGGTCAGCCTCCTTCTAGAGAAAGACAAGACAACAGCTTAAACTAGCCCCCATAATGTGTAGGCAGGTGGCACCAGGTAGCAGGAACACTGGCCAGGAATTCAAGACCGTAGCCTGTCCTGTTTTCTACCCTGCTTCCCCAGAGGAATTCAGTGGAGTGGAAGGAAGATGCTTTAAGCCAGCCAGCTGGTGGATGGTTTATGAGACCCTGGGGCAGTCCCAGCTCTGAACTTGGGGCCCATAGGCAAGCTTAGCAAAGGTGTTCAGGAGTCACCAGGAAGATGGCTACTCCACCAGGTAACTTCCAGGCTTAGAAGGAGAGAAGGCTCAAAAATGTTTGTTCCTCCTTGGTCCAGTTAATATCAGAACACTTGGGTGGGACAACACGTGCGAAAAAAAACTACCACATTTTAGAGCACCTGTGGACCCAAGCTACCAATATTTTCCACTTCCCTTCATGATCTTGCATATCCCACTGGGCAACAAAAGAGTAGTATCAAAGCTGTCCAGAACCAGATATCCTTGAAAGCAGGGCATCATCCCGCCATAAAAGCATTTTTAAAAATATGTGAGATGTGAACAGCTGGTCTTGCTAGTGCTGGAAACTGCTGCTGGGTTTGTGACTACAGGCTGGGTCCAAAAACCCTGAACAAATCTCAAATTTTGCCTCAAGGAGATAGGAGGGAGGAAGGGAAAGGCAATCACACTGCTTTGGACTGGCACTGGCTGCAGACACAACATAGGAAGGCAAGTAGCTCCCGTGGCAATGCACAGCAAGTTTGCCAAGGCCCAGTTTCAGTTTTCTCTCTGTCCTCCATCCTCTCTTTTTTTTAATATTTAAAGAAATCACTGAAATATTAGGTAACTACAATGACACTCATGGTAAGAGTGTCATAACTACAGTAACTCAAGGTAAGACTGTCCCTCAGTGATTATTTCTTCAGATAACCAGAGGAGAGAAATGAAGAGAAACAAGCGCCAATCAGAACCAAACTTTGATGAGGAAGACTTGGAAGCTGCTTCTGAAGAAGTAAACCCCAGGTCACGCACCGTGCAGCTGACTCAAGAGCTTGGCCACCAGGCTAATGAAACCAGGCCAATGGGACAAGAAACTGATCAAACATTTAATCCAGACAACCCATACAACGTGAGTATGTGCACTGTAATCTTCCTTCAGAGCTCAGGACTGTGTTGGACAGGTAACACTGGTAATATGGGGCTTGTAATTATTTTTTAATTTAATCTGCACAGTCTTTGCTTGTTCACCTTTTCTAGGAAATATTAGACTGGTAAAACACCTGAGAAGCTCAAAAATGTCTTCCCTCTGTCCTCTTCTCCCAGTTTTAGATTTCTGAAACAAGTCTGAAACAAGCACAAGTGCTTGAGGTCACAAGGTTAAGGCAAGTTGATGCCAAGTTGCTTTTTGAGGTTTCCAGATCCATATGGAAACAGCACTGGAGATCTGACAAGGGTAGCACCTTCTAGAAACAAACCAAAGCTGGTCTTGATCAGACAGCTGAGACCCACCATTTACTATGTGAAGAGACTCCAGTAGCTAGAAACATGCTTTGCTCTCAAACAAATTAGTACCAGACATGACTGCTACAGGGGAACATAGCAGAAGCATCTGGGTGCAAAGAGATAAATGTTCAGGCAAATAAATTTCTTTCTCAGCCTCTTCTCTATGAGGGTAAGCAATCCTAGACTAGCAATAACCTGACAGAGAAGAATTTGTTTTGAGACAGCAGCAGTGGGTGGAGGATGACTGTCGTAAAACTTGTTCTCACCCTTCAAGAAGCAGCAGCCCCCAGAAAGAGCAGAGGAGCCGTCCTGCTGTGTCCCAACACCTCTGCCACGCTGCAGGAACACTGGCTGTGCAGGAGGCACCTTCCAGTCTGCTGCACCAGCGCCAGACAATTTACACCCACCATTGGGTGCAGCAGGAGTAAGTCATTTTAATACAACACTGTCACAAGATAAATGCCTCCTGCTCTGGAAGTAAGTCCCAGCTTTGACTTGACATTTATGTAACAGCAGGAGATCATTATACTGTGACAGCATTCTGCCAAGTTGACATCCCTTAATTAAACTTAAATTAATCACTCCAAATAAAGTGGATCTAAATCGACTCTCACGAGGTCAGTAAAGCATCAGTGGCACTGGAATGTAGCTTCTCCTCACAGCCACTAACGTGACCATCTCCATGAGGTCTGAGATGCCCTGCCTCTGGAGGCACAACGGCCACGGGTCTGCTGTTCCAGCCCGGGGGCAGCCGGCCAAATGGAGAACAGCCAGACAGATGCAGCCATCAGACTTCCCTCAGCCTGCAGGGTGGGGTTCCACCAACAGCGACTGCACCATGCCTGTCACCAGGCTTTCTTAGAGACCGAGTCACTGGACTGACAAGCACCATTAATTATGCTCCAGGCCTTTCCTGAAGGATGAAATGAATCCTCCCTAGAGCTATTTACTCACTGTAAGTGGAGCCTGGATGATGAGCTCAGGTGATGTTCATGGTGGCAAGCATCTGAATTCAAGGATGATGAATCCTGACCACGGAAACATCTTGCCTACTCTCGATGAGCTCAGGTGAGGTGATGTTCATGGTGCAAGCATCTGAATTCAAGGATGATGAATCCTGACCACGGAAACATCTTGCCTACTCTCAGGACTGGGATGCAGTTGCTGGGGTCCCTAAAAACACCCAGCTGTCACTAATGTCCTATACAAGCCCAGACAAGGGCTGGCACCTTTCTGTATCACTTGTTTTGTTGTGCTGCTACTTTCCAAAAATGAATGACAAATGCTTAGGTAAAAAGATAACTGGTACTTCAGCATTTGTGCATTACTGCTGCTTTTCTTGAAGTAACACCAATGGGCAAAGAACAACCCAAGTGTCCAAAAGCAGAATATCAGGTTACCTTTTTTTCCCCAGAAATGAGGAAAGGAATTTTGAAGGGTAAAGGCTTTTAGGTATTTTGTGCATGCTTTGCTCCATTTAACTCCTTACTGTCAGCTGCAGAACAGGCACAATTCTCACTGTCAACAATGCACCTACGTGTGGCGGGATGGGAGGGAAGGAACCAGACTCAGAGACGAGCCAAATTCTCAGAAAACTGCAGGGGACCAGAGGAGTAATTTCCTAAAAGTGCTGTAAAAAGCATTAAAATACAGAATCTAAAACTAGTAATAAAAACCACATCATATATTTCAGGAATTCTCACCTACATGAAAGATTCAGGTATCTTGAAATAATTTCCATCACTAATATTTAAAGTTTGGGAGGAGCTTACTGTTGCTGGAGCTTTTGCAAGGACAGTAGAATAAAAATACTCAAGTTAGAGCTGCCTGTTGTTCTTTCCATTTTGCAAGGGTGATTGCACCAATTCTACACTTCTGCCAAGGAGAGCAAGACAAAAGAAAAAATAATAAAGCATGGGACGCTAAGTGGGAGTTTTGTCAATTTCCACAGCCCAAGACTGCAGGTTTTACCCTTTGTGGGGTTAACGGGAGCATGGATGTATTCTGCTATTCCATGAGAATGAGAACACTGGGATGACATTTAACATTTTACATTCCAGCAGCAGGAAGGTGAAGGGATGGCTTTTGACCCCATGCTGGATCACCTGGGTGTGTGCTGCATTGAGTGCCGGCGGAGTTACACGCAGTGCCAGCGGATCTGCGAGCCCCTCATGGGCTACCACCCGTGGCCTTACCACTACCAGGGCTGCCGCACCGCCTGCCGCATCATCATGCCCTGCAGCTGGTGGGTTGCTCGTATCATGGGCGTTGTGTGAGAAAATCCCTTGACCAAAACAAAAAAAACTAAACTGGAGCCTTGACAAAATAAGCAGGAATACAATGAACTGGTAAAAGACTAAAACCAAAGCAGCAGTACTGATCCTGCCTTACAAAATCAGAGCCTGTTTTTCTGCACCAAAAGCAAGGTCAGATATTCCAACTGCAAATTAAAATCCCAAGTTAATATTCCATTAGCTTTACAAGAAGCAAGGGTATATTAGCACTTGCTGAATTAAAAAATTGAGACATCTCAAAAAAAGACAATATTAAACTTTGCTTACAATTGGTTTAGCAGTCCAGAAGCTTGCCTGTACATCAAAATAAAGCATTTCAAAACAAACCCCTCTCTTTCCAAGCTATATGTGAAAATTTACACCCAATTAAGCAACTAGCTCAACTTGTACACTTGGGAGTGCCTTTAATCCATGTAACTTACTTAAATAAATCACAACTTAAGTTGCTCCCTGTTGCTATTCAGAGTTGCCAGATCATTATGAATGGTTATAAACCAATTACAGCATACCTTTCCCACAAAGCTGCTCCAGGGGACACGGGAAAGCGCACATTGTGCTAAATCGGAAACAAACAGCAGGAAAAGGAGCTGTGGAAGGGAATGTGAGTGGCTGCAGAATCAAAACCCTTTGCACATCCCAACATCAAAGAAGCCCCAGCATCAAGAATCCTGTATCCATGATACCACTGTAGTGTCTAACAAGTATCTGCTATCCAGCTACTACAGCAAAAGTATTTACATGCAGTTACAGACCAAGGAGTCTCAAGACCCTTCAGAATCTGCAACAGCCACTGTTATTTATAAATCCTTGAACTAGACACTTCTAACACAAGATTACAACCCCTCTTTATTTCACATGGATAGCAGCCATTCACACCAGTTCCTTTAGCTTTGCTGAAGCTCACATCCCTTCCCCACAAGAGAAACTGTTTACCAGAAGGGAGGGGGAAAAAAAAAAAGAAAAGCCTTTTTTTTTTCCTCTCCTTTCTCACCTCACCCTTTCTGCTGAGGCAAACTCTGCAGTTATTGGGATTGATCCCATTACACATTAAATGTCTGAGGAAGGTACTAAGCTGAAACACTCAAAGCTGGAACAACGTAGTATTTCTAGCCTTGAAAAACAAAAATAGTGATATTACACCACCTTTATCCATACTATGTATCTTGAACCCTACCTCCAAGTTTATGGAGCCATCTACATCATCTTTATTAACAAAATGGTTCAGCTTTTCTTAAAGTCTGCTTTCTGGAGCATTCATTTTTGTGACTAAACAGCTCTTGAGATGTTGCAAGCCCAGTAATGTTATTAACACGGCGTGACACAGAGAAAAGAGGAATTAATTTGACATAATCATGGCTTAAAGAAAATAAAGACAACCTCATGTGGAATGCTAAACTGCATATCTAAAAAGCAAAGTGTTAAATGAGAATAAGATGAGAGTAGAATTCAATATTTTGTTCTATTGTAGCTTTTTAGTATAAACTTCACCTTCCCTTAATCTGAAGGACAGACTTGCTTTGAAATATTTAAATTATAAACTTCTTAAAGTGAGATTTCAAGGCCTGTTAAATGTGAGTTTCTGCTTTTTAAACTGAAAATGACCTTGATCATTATGTTGTTTTAGAAGTACATCTATCATAGGCTTAGAAAAGTCAGTTTCCTTTTTTTTTTTACTGCAGATTAAACAAACACATTTAAAAAAACCCAGTTGCTTTCTGTGCTTTTTTCAATGTAGAAGGTGTAACAATTCTTTCACATACTCATTCAAGAACTGTCTGAAGAGGGAAAGAAGGGCATCAGCAAGTGAAACACCAGAGGCAGAGAGAGATAAATGTGACTGTGTGTATGTGTGAACTAGACTGTTGCTCTCTTTTGCATCTTGAGGCAGCGTGTCACCTGCTTCTCTCTGTGTCCCCCAATATAACAAACAGCCTTCTTCTGAAGACACAAAACCAACTTTCTTGTAGGTGATTTTCATGTCTACACATACTTAACAAAATTAACTTTTAAGAAAAGCTTGTAATCATTTGCTTTCTATAGGCAGTCACAAAGCATGTAAGAAGTCAAAAAGCATGGATCTAGAGCTGTCACATACAGCATGTACATCTTGAGAACGTGTCTGTACACACCATGCCACAAAAGCCACAGTGACCTTAACGTTTATCCATTTCCAAGATGTAGGCAACAAAATGCCTCCTCCAACTCAAGCTTCAAGCAAGCAAATTCCTATTTACCTTATATTGGATTCAAAGAGAGAAAAGTAAAGATCGTGTGCTGCAGCAAGGTTGGGAAAAAAACAACTGTTTCTTCAAAATCTGATTTTGAAGGAAAAGTTCTGAGACAACACAGGGATGGCAGTAAAACCAAAAAGCCAACGGTGTGAAAAGATGTCTGATATTCCCTGCAGTTGTGGCTTAGACTCCAGCTCTAACCACCCAGAGTGATCCTTTCACTACCAGTAAAGTAGTAAGTTTCTCACTGCCGTCACAAATGTAATACCTTAGCACACTGAAGAGGTTACAACATGTCAGCATTTGGGGAAGTATGGAGCAGTGTGTTCCTTGAATCTGACCCTGGGCCAGCAGAAAACTGAAAGCCTTCCTTTGGCTGAAGTTTAGGGAAGGAGAAGAGGAATGAGTTTGTCATCAACAGTGTCTCCCACCACAGGTGGGTGTATGTTTGTCACAGCACTGCAGTTCCACTATCCTTAAAACTTAATTACCCATGTGATTTTACTAGGAGGATTAGAATGGCAGAGCAGATTAGAGCAGAAAAAGGGGATAAATTCAGGCTGGTGAAAAAGAGATGGAAAACAGGGAGCAATCTCACACGAGTGAATAGAGTGAAAGCCAGTGATGGGAAGGCAGGAGGAGTCTTTTTACTAAATCTACAGTTTCCTTTCTCCTGACTTAAATGAACCCTTTTTCATACAGGATACACTTTTATCTACATTGAGAAAGCAAAAAGCAGCTGGGAGCCATGGGGCAATCTGGCTTCTACCTCCCATGTAACACTTCACCCCTACTGCAGCACAAAAAAAATCGAAGAAAGTTGCAGTGAAGAAAAGTCTAATCACTTGTTCCATGCAGTACAGGGGAAAAAAAAAAAGCAGTGAAGCATAAAACTACAGTTGGCAATGATTGCTGATTGAGATGTCTGGGTGGAGAGAATCTCTGCTCAGAAAGGGCAAAAGAGAGACTGAACCAGGAGCACCATCTTCTGCTTCTGAGAGGCTCAGCTGGCCTTTTACAAATACACATCTACAAAGTGGTCTTTCACAAGCACGTGTCAAAGACGATAGAGGCAGCCCTAACCTGCAGCAGGGATCTTTCCCAAGAGCAGGAGCAGAGAGCAATCTATGGTATTAAATGGGAACTGTTACATCTTGCTGTCCTCTTCCAATATTTCCATCCGTACACAGATCACTGAGGTCATCACATCACATCAGAGCACTGAAGTGATACTGCCTCAGTCTTCCAGACAGTACTATGTACAGATGACCAAAAGGCTTGGGGAAAAAACCCTCAGGTAGTTAGAACGCAATTAAACCATCATCCACTCTGTCCTTGCAGGCAGTTCCCTTCCTCCAGCCAACTCATTATCAGTGCTGCTACATATTCCACTCACCCTCCCCAATCCCAACGGAAATTCCCTTCGTCGCTGGTTTTTTTTCAGAACCTCTATTCAATGCCCAAGCTACTGCTTGCATTCTCTTGATCTACAGCTTCTGGTACCATTTTGTGTGTGTGCATTTTGACAGGAACAAAACACACTGTTCGTGAAGTTCATGAAGCACCTTCCCCCCCAGCTTTCTAAGGAAATTTTGCCTACTGATTGAATCCAATCTCCTCCAAACAAAAAACCCAACACCTCTCCGCGCCCCCCTCCCCCCCCATACATTCCCCTCTATCTATAAGGCAACAAGACATGCCATTATTGATTAACCTTAGCGTGAGGGAGGAACACACAAATTATCTGCCAGTGCTCAGGAACATGCTGGAGTTATGTCTAGACCTGCGAACTTCGTTTACAGGATTGAGATGGACAGGGAACTCTACCACTTGATTGCTACAAGTTTTAGCCTGAAGCTAAAGCATTATATTTGCATTACATATGCCTCAAGAGTATGTAAGTAGCAGTGCATTTAATTTTAGTTTTTGCCTTAAGCCAAGTGAATTGAATCTCAAAGCAGTGAAACAGTACCCACTTAATACAAGAATATATTGTGTTTATCTGACATAATGCTCCCATGGTCTTTCAGTAAGTGAAAGACAAAGGAACCTCTGCTACATTCTCTTCAGTAAGCAAGAGCAACTTGACTGGCAGAAAACATCTTCAAATTATTTTTTAATTTCTATTTAAGAGATGTTTACCTAGGCTTTGCCCCACAGCAAGCCTTTTCTAAACTCTCTTAAGTACTCTGAATGACATTTATAAAGCAAGGCTGGCCAAGAGACAAGAACACAATTTTGTGACAAAGTGAAGCACTCAGACATTTGTCTTCCTTCTACATTAAAAAGAAAGAAATGCTTTTGCGCATAAATAAAAGCAGCAAAGCACTTATCTGGGAGAATGGAGTTCAAGTACCTATTCGAAATCAAATCAACTCCAATGTTAGCATCCCATATGGATGGGCAAATGCTCTACATATTGAGCAACCAGCTACTCAGAATTCTCTGAAGGTCAAGAAAAGCCTCACACCAAAGCTAAAAATTCTTCTCTGAAACATGTCCCAAGTTTGTACTTTGAGAAACTCCAAGAAGCAGACACTGTTAAGTAAATGTCAAGAGGTAAGGCATAGAATACCCTTCCTAAATCCAATCCACCTCGGTTCATTGCATCCAAAGAGCAGGGCAAAATCCATTCTGAAGGTTATCAAATTTCAACTTTGGAAAGCATGTATCAATTCTGAAGCCAGAAGTGAGGCAAAAGAAATCACTGGCCAGCCTGCACTGCATCATCATGATCTCAGTGCATCAAGAAATTGCAATCATGTCAACCCTTGTAGTCATAGTCTACATCCAAAAAACCCCTCTTT